TTCTTTCTTTCTTTCTTTCTTTCTTTCTTTCTTTCTTTCTTTCTTTCTTTCTTTCTTTCTTTCTTTCTTTCCTTCCTTCCTTCCTTCCTTCCTTCCTTCCTTTCCCTTCCTGTTTTTTTCTCTTTTTCCCTTCCTCTTTCTTTCTTGCTCTTTCTTTTCTTTTCTCTTTCTCTTTCTCTCTCTCTCTCTCACACACACACGCACACACACACACCTGGTCTGGGACAAACTGAATGATCTGGCGAGCTCCAGTCAGCAGTAGGTGGAGGGAAAAGGAAGAAAGGGTGGTGGTGGCATGCAGGCGCAATCCTCCCTTAGGCAAAGCACCTCCGCGTGCAGCGGTGATTGTAGTGATGGCAGCGGGGCCTTGAACACCCACCTGCCCCGGTCCTCCCAAAGGCAAAGCACCTCTGTGTGTGATGGTGGCAGCAGCAGCGGGGCCTTGAGCATCCTCCCAGACTGCAGCCCTCCCCAAACACCTCCACAGGTGGCAGAGGTGGCGGACCTCGCTCTGGCTGTCTCCCGTAAGCTGCCCTGGCCTGCGAGGGAAGCAAGCAAGCAGGGGGAATGGCTCTGGTCAATGCCAAGATTTCCCACTTGCTTTCCAAGCCATCCTGGCCTGTGAGGGAAATGATGGGAGATCGTGGCACCAGAGCCCTTCCCCGTGCTTGCTTGCTTCCTAAGCCAAAGTATCTCCATGTGCAGCAGCGACGGGGACCCTGGCTGCCTCCCGTAAGCAGCACCATCACTGCAGCACCTCTGCCCCCTTCCTTTTGTTTTGCCCCTAGAAGAAGCGGGCAGAGGTGGTGGAGGCACTGCGGCAATGGCCCTGCTTATGGGAGGCAGCCAGGTCCACCGCCTCTGCATGTGGAGGCACTTTGAAGAACTGGGGGGGGGCTGCTCAAGGCCCCACAGTTCACTGTGGTGCAGCTGCCATGTGGTAGGGAGAGCTGGAAGAGCGCTGCGTGGTGGCTTAGCCATCCAGCTGAGCCCAAGGACGGGGGGCAGGTAGGTAGGTCCCAGCCAGCACCGCTGGCGTGATGGGGGCTGCACCAGTGGAGAAGCGAGCCAGACAAGCCCAGGGATGGGGGGATGTAGGTAGGTGGGCTGGGCAAGGCCTGGGGAGCCCTGGAGCTGGCCGTGGGAGGTCCTACCCCTGAGTAAATGATATTCAAACTAGGTAAGTCATAACCACTGCAGATCAAGGCCAATATAAATTAACATGCTCATGTTAAGTATCAATTTGACAAGCTATCCTTAATTTATAATGTAGGATGGAGGCGCATCCTGACTGAGGTAGGCAAATACATTCTGCATAGTGATCCAATAGCTTGGATATATAGAGGAATCTTTACTTCTCTTTTTGAGCAGAGTAACAAGTACACAATATTAAAACATTGTATTGTGGAAAAGAAAGTTTTGGGGTGTCTAAAGTGTACAGCTAACAGGAATGTTTGGGGTACGAGGCAAGGATCCTAACATAATCAGGAATGTAAGATGAACATCTTAACGAATTAAGATTTTCTAGAGTGTTTATTTGAGTGAGTGTGACTTCAGAATACATTCCCCTTCCCAGAAGAGTAAGAGAGCATATGCTTGGCTGTCTCCTCCACTCCTATATTATCTAATGATTTAATTCGCAATGAAAAATTCTGTTAGTTTGCATGATAAAGTTTGCATAATTCCTAGTAAGTGGAGAGAGAAAATACTTTTTTGCCCCTACCAACGACATTATTCATTTTACTTGTTCACTTCAGTAACTAAAATTAATTATCACAGATCAGACTGCATGACAATTCAAAATTACATTTCCTATTGCAATATTTCTATTCCAATATGGATCAGAACATGCAACATTGTAATCTCCCCACTCCCAGAGGATTTATGGGTATATTTTATTTTAAAATTCAATAGTATATTGTCTCTAGAAGTTAACAGATAACAGAATTGGAAAAGACCTTGTAGATCATCTAGTCCAAACCCCACCTCCCTAAGCAGGAGACCCTACACAATTTCTGAAACAAATATCTCTTTCTCACAAGAGAAAGAATATTGAAATAAAAGTGAACTGCAAATAATCCCCCCAAAATCTTATTTATGCAAAAATATCTAAAAAATAACAATAATTCTTAATAAAGTAGGAAACATTGCATCACTACTGAAAAAACGGCAGTATGGGTGCCTTTGGCGAAGTTCCAAAACAGTCCCAAATGTGGTTACTCCTGAAAAATGAATCGGACTCTTATCCCTTTTTATGCAAACCAACCATATAAAAGGAAGAGAAACAGAATCTTTAGTGAAGCACTTTCAGAAGAGATAAAATACTGTAAGATAAATTTAAAATATATTCTTATTTGTTAAATAATATGAAGAAACCTAGAGGAGAGGGAAAATGGGAGACCAACCTCCAAACCAGATTTTATGTATTCTGAAAAGATAAAGGATATTTTAGTTTTTGCTATATATAAAGGTTTATTTTGGTTTCTTACCAGCAGATACAAGGACCACCGCTGTAAACAAACTCATTTCTTCATCACTAAGGTTGAGTGCATTTAGCTTCTCACTAAACTCAAACATGGAGTTCAGCAGATCACCAGCTCCCATGGTACGTAGATCATCCAAACTGTACTTCTTTCCACTAAGAAAAGTGACAGTACGATCTTTTGCATCAAATAGAGATGCAAACCGTACCATTAGTACCTGGTCAAAAGAAAATTTAGGGAGAAAAGCTCGATATAAATCTATACTCAGTTCATATAAAATCTTTAAACTTTGAGAGCTCATAAAATTGAAGATAAAAGTCTTCTATGAGCCAAGGTCAATTCTTGGTGACTAGTCTTGAAATTAAAGGGAAGTGATCAAATCTACTGCCTTATGGGATTTTATTTCCCAGACTTTCAATGTCTTCCATCCAACTATTATCCTGCTTAAAAATGTGTTCTCTGTTTGAGCCTAAAAGCAATGACATAAGTGAGATATATCCTGAATTCTAAAATAGTCCACATACAAAATGATTACTATCCTATATAATTTATACCCTCCATTTGTTTGTTTAAAAACGCTTTCTAACAGTTCACTAAAGGTATGATTAATCCCAGCTTTAAAAAGAATCTCAGCAACTATTTATATAATTTAGAAACAGGCCAGGTTATATGTAAAAAAAAATTAGAGTTTGGAGTTAAAGAGACATCCTCACTTGGCTTTGATATTTTGTTGGTAATTTATTTATTTATTTATTAAACTTATATGGCTATCCATCTCACAAAAAGTGATTCTTAAACTGAGGATATAAAATGGTTTGAAATAAAAATGCAATATCTTCTAAAATGTATTTTATTATTGTTGAAGTGAGAGGTATTCTGCAGGGAGCAGTCAAAAACATTGATGTAAGCAGACTGACCTCCACAGCATACAGCCTTGAAGGAGATGGAGAACTTAGCACCAATATTTAAAACTTTTTTAAGCAACAGAGCTCAAAAGTAATACCTTCCCTCAGAGAAGGAAAGATGAGGCAAGACAAGAGAATAATTGGCATTTCTTAAATATAAATTTTCTCATGTTCACTGTGGCTCTTTCCAAAAGGCAAGACTGAATATAGTCAGGATTTCAATTGTGGACAAAGGTATGGGGCCCTTTTAGGCCAGAGGTGGGGAACTATTCCCCTTGATGACTTGTGGACCACAACTTCCAGAATTCCTGAGCCAGCATGGCAATAGATACAAGAAAATGCCACACTGAGATACCAATTTGGATACAGCAAAAAAGGTGAGTGCAAAACTGAGGATCCTACTTTTCAAAATGAGTGACAAGACAGGATGAAATTTCCAAGTAAACTATACAATCTATAATTACATAAAGAGGCAATTTTTACCACATTTCCCCAACAACTACAGCAGATACATGCCAAATGTACCAAAATAACTGCACTCATTTTATCAATTTTAATTGATAGAAAGAAGAAGAAATAAAAAAGAAATATTCACCTCAAAGGTTCCAGCCTTCAGAAGGTTTACTTGGTCATGTTGGGAAAGATCTCGGAAACCTGGAACACGCTTGGCAAATTCCACTACTTCCTTTACTGCAGGGGTAAAGCTCATGGAAAATTCTTCCCAGACTTCCTGACCAGACTTATTTGGATCCACAAAAGGAGTCTTGTTCATTGGGCAAACCTGGATATTTACATACACATGGAATCAAAATGCTACTCTGAACACTTTCTTCTTTTCAAAAACCAGCAATATCTTCAAATATAACATAATTATTCATAATTAAAACATTCATAATTAAAAATGCTAGAATGTTCCAAAAATGTTAGAATCTAATTAAAATTAAGAGTTTCCTCTTGTCAACAACATAATAAAACCTTTCTTAGAAAAGAAACCTGAGTATGAGCATCTACTTTAAAGTCCATTTTCCACAATATTTTATACTTGCAAACTTACATTCGCAGAGCATCCTTGCGTTACAATTTTGGAATAGCTGTGATAATTTTATTTCCATCTAGTGCAATTGGTAGGCAATTACACTGACTATCCAGAAAAAATTATATGACCTTGACTGTAAGTTCTTTACTGTAATTTTTTTTTTTTACTTCACTTTAAGGCTTTAAAAACTGCTAAGGCTTAAAATGTTTGAATTGCTTACATGTACATTTCTTCTCTTAATTGCTATGCCATTTGAAAAATATAGCATAAATAGTGTGAAAGAATCACAGAGAATGTACTTTCAGCTTCAAATGAAAATGTTATAGGAGTGGTCATTATTCAATTGGTTTAACTGTCACACATTTATACAGAAAGTCACACTATAATTAGTAACTAGTTCATACTTATCCCACCTTCCAATTGAATTCGTACAAGTATTTGTTTTAAAAAAACACATACAAGGGAAGGAATTTGTTCACCCTAAAGTAACTTCACAGGTGGAAATTTTCTTCAACTGTGTTATTATTCCAACTACAGGGAATCCTCAAACTATAACCGATCACTTAGCAACTGTTTGGATTTACAAGGAATCCAGAAAAAGGAGTGACATTCCAATGACATGTCCCCCTCCATTTACATGATTATGTTTTGGACAACTAGCCTGCACTTATGGATATTTGCATCATCCCACAGTCACTTTTTTGTGTGCCAGAAATGGGTATTTACTTCGTTTCCAGCAAAAAAATGGATTGGCTGAAGTGGATTTGCTTAACAATTATGGGGTTCACATAATAACCACTGGAGTTGACTTCATAGAGGGAGAGAGAAAAAAGAGCTGCCTTCCCTTTTTAAGGTTCTGCAAAAAGAATAGTCTCCCAAAGTCCCGATTAAAAAAAACAAGTTTAACTTTTTCTTTTCTTTTCTGCAAAACTTCTCTTGGCATGGTTGCTTCCTTTTCAATAGAAATGGCTTCTTCCATTGAAGCCAATGTCCTCCAAGAATTGTGAATTGTGTTTGAGGGTTTTATCCCATGAAAGTCAAGCTGAAATATCGTATAACTATAACTTTAGAGAAGAATTTTAGAAAAGTGAGTGCAGTTCTTTTATTCTCTGTGAAGCCAGCAGCAATGCCTCAATCCTGTCCAAGAGCATGGGGAAAAGGCATTTTAAGATGCTAGAGCTGACACCTGATTTTAGCTATTTTCTCTGTCTTCTCCTTCTTAAAGGGCTAGTCTGGATAACCTTGTAGGAAAAAGGAAATGGCAAAGGTTGGTTGACATGGGGCAAGGCAAAGCAAGTCAAGAGTGCTAGGCTGAAATTTTCCAGTTGTTCAGGACTTTGTGAAGAAAGTGGCTGCTTTACATCCTTAGAGTCTTCCAGGCTAAATTTAGAGCTTTCTTTTCCTTTCTTTGGAAGAAAACTTCCAAACTCTCGTCCCCTTCTTTAAACAATGGAAGATGACGAAAACTTCTTTGAGGGGGTGAGTGGACACACACACACACACAGAGAGACATGTGTCTTCCTTTGGGGATTGCAAGTAGTATTTGACGTGTGTGTGTGTGTGTGTGTGTGTGTGTGTGTGTGTGTGTAGACTCTTGGCAGATTGTTATCTTTCTTTTGAACTGGTAGCCCCTTGGATAGTGAGGTGAAGTTCCTGTATACTGTAGATAATTAGGATCTGGACCCTGAGTGGTGCAGGCATTTTGGGAGGAAAGGTGAAGTCTATGGCAACTGCTGCCACAGTAGGGAAAGACACCAGTGGAAGGGAAGCCACTTGCAGAGATGATTAGGGGACTGTTTCATTACAGCTGCTTGTAAAATGGTATCTGTTTCTATTGTGAAGCCAAGTAAGGTTTAGTTTAAGGATACCAAGTGGAATGGAGTTGAACAATCAATGGCAGATGTGGGTGGGAAGTAGGCACAAGGCCTGATGGGAAGAGTGGACACTGCAGTGTCCCTGTGGCTGGTCTTAAAAGCAAATTATTATGGGAGATGATGTAACTTCAAATAGTTGCTAAGTGACTGGTCGTATCTATAAGATTACCTGTATACTCTACTGCATTATTGTTCCCAGGATTATATGACTAATTTAAGCTTATGACAACTGAAGTATTTAATAGTTGTAATACCAGGTGCATTCTGTCTTCAGTGCTGCAGGAATACACATTCAGAGATTCAATGGAAGAAAAGCCATTTTCGAGCATTTTATTATACCCTTTTGTGGTAAAGCCATTGGTGAAGTTCATAGAATGGAAGCAAAGATTATACCCACTTGGATAGCGCATATTGTTTTGCCCTTTAAACTGTCCATTGAAATGTTTAATATTCCCATTTTGAAGCACATTGCTTATGCTACCATCATCGGCTTCACCACCAGAATTGTATTGCTCCAAGTATTTAAGATTTTTCTCCCCATTTGAAGTGGTACGATCTTCTGGTTGTTCCTGATTGTACATAAATGTATCTTTGTGGGCACTGGTCACCATGCCAATCACTTCTTCTTTGGCAATGTCAGAGGGCAAAGAAAGAGCAGGACATAATGGAGGAGGAAGAGGAGAAGGAGAAGTGGGCTTTTTGGCAGTTTCTTCTTGCTTTAGTTTGGAGTTCAGCTGTTCCTGAGGCACTAAGAGCAATGCTTCCTGGCTATCTTTTAATGCTTCACTGGCCAAGTGATCACTGAACTGCGTATTCATCATAGTTTTCATGGCACTTTGCATTTCAATTATCATCCTCTGCTTCTCTCGTTTAGGAATTCGGCCAAATCGAACAGCTATAAGGAAGACAGAGAAAGTCTTTAGTTTTAGATTATATCAAATTTTAATAAGAATGCAATTTCATTTTTTTCTTAAGAAATCACACTATTGATTAAACACAGAATCTATTTGACAGTAAAATTGTGATCAAGGATCAAAAGACTACCCTACTGGTTCTGGGACCTGAAATTCTAAAGATACATTTTTCTCAAATGTGAGATACACATGGAATAGAAGAGAATTCATACACAGTCCAAGCAGTATTTTCAATTGTAATGAAGAGAATGAGGTAAGTTTTTAAAGTTCTTTTTCCCTCAAAAAGCAAGTTGCACATGTATGCTGCTTCTAGACAGAAAAGGCTATTGGAAAGGATGCTGACTTTTATAAGTATTGTCTCTTTCCTTTTCCTATATTATTTTTTTGTACTTTATTGTCATGTTATTTCCTTTTCTTAATATAGCTTAGAATTGTCCAGAAAGCTGTGTTATTAAAAAAAAGCATTCAAATAACTTATATAATACACAATTTTTCTTCTCAACAATGCAGGCAGGAATGCAAGCATTATTTTTATGACCAAGGAAAAAAGAGCGGAGAGACACAACTTGGAATACACAACTTGGAATGAAAATAGCGAAAACTTAGTAACTAGGACAACCCACAATTTGGAAAGTATTGTGGTTATATTAACTAAAGTTCTAAGAATAACCAAAATGTATCCAAAAGTGGCAGACTGGTTGTACTGGAGATACTTTGGCTTGAGAAAAATGAAAACCAGTTTGTCTGCAATGATGATATCCAAAAAAGGCAGACATGGGCAGACAGATTAGAAGCATCATCAGACCAACTATAAGATTGTAAATACACTTGACCTTTATTTTTATTTTTTACTTCCTTAATTCCACAATATATTTGTGGCTTATTTAAAGTGGTATGTTCTTTGCAAATTTAATTAATCAAGTTATCAGATTAATTAATCATGGTATGAAACTTCCAATTTACTAGATCATTCCTCTAAATCAGTGGTTCCCAAAGTGGGCAGTACCGCCCCCTGGGGTGGTGGTGGGATACCTCAGGAGGGTGCTAAGAGGCAGCAGGGGGGCATTCGAGGTGCCGGCCCCACAGGCTCATTGACTGCCGGCCCCACAGCCCATTGACTGTTTCATTGCTCCGTAGCCGGCACCTCGAATGCAGAACCCGTGCACGGCGAGCCTTGCCAAGCCTGGGGGGGGGGGGGGGGGGGAGAAAGGTGGGGGGTGGCGGAAAGGGGGCGCCTTAGCTTGCAGGCTGCCCTCTCAGGTGGAAGCAGCAGAGGCATGCCAGAAGGCCCGAAAGCAAAATCCTCCCAAGGCGCGCAGTGGAAGGGGTGGGTGGTCCGGCATTAAGGCCCTCTTCCCCAGAGAACAAGGGAGCATGCAGCGCCTGCCTGGCCTCCGCCTCTCCAGCCAGCCGGGCTTGCGCGCAGGATACGGGTAGATGCAGCTGCAGCTCTCCAAGGCACGTGGCTCAGTTTGGTTCAGCTCTACATGGCTGGCCCAGACCTAGAACCTAGCCTCCCTCTGCAGCCTAGTTCTTCCGACTGAGTCCTGTGCTTGCTTGCTTGCTTGCTTTCCAAGTGATCGTTCCCTCCATCTCCACTGGTCTGGGCTGTTTCCGCACGCCCTCCTCATCCCCAGCGGAGCATTGCAAAATTGGATGCCGAAGAAAGAACTGGGGCAGGGGGCTGGAGAAGGGGCAGAGGGGCAGCTGCATTAAGGAGCAGGAAGATCTTAGCCATGGTTTATTGACTAAGCCAGAATCAAATAGCATGCTAAACTCTAACCAGAATGGCTGGGTTGATATGTTCAGCCCGTGTTTCTCAACCTTGGCAACTTGTGTGGACTTCAATTCCTACTCTGGCTTTGCTCTACTTTCTCAAAGTGCCGCCACTGTCGCACTCTGTCTGTCTGTCTGTCTATCTATCTGTCTATCCATCCATCCATCCATCCATCCATCCAAAAGGTCTGTCTGTCTTCCTGCCTGCCTGTCTTTCTGTCTACCTACCTACCAATATAGATCTATCTATCCATCTACCTACCTACTTATCTACCAATCTTTCTACCTACCTACCTATCCATACATTCATCCAAAGATCTATCTGCCTGCCCGCCTGCCTGCCTACCCCGCCCCCCTCCATCCATGTTTGAAGCGCCAGCCCTGCAGGCAAAATCAGGAAAGTAGAGCAAAGCCTGGGAGGGAAGAAGGGAGGGAGGGGGAAAGAAAGAGAGAGACCTGATGCATCAGATTGAAATGAAGCCTAGTTTAGACTGAGGCCCTTTTCCACATTGAAACATCTTTGCCAGCCCATTGAAACATCTTTGGCTTCTATTAAAGTTATTGTGGACGAAACATGGTCAAGACTATCAGGAAGCTCTCACATTTTGTTGAGGCTTTAAACAGGATCCACTGGACCAGATCTCCACCCTAAAAATTACTTTTCCCCAAAGTATTACAGTGCCAATTCTGAAGAAGGCAAATCCAAAATGTACTGGTAAATTACAAGGAGAACAGACACACCCCTTTCTAACCCTGTTGGAGCAGGTGATTGGACTAGAATAGATATCTCATTATCTTTCTCCTCCCTCCCTCCTTCTTTATTTCTTTTTCTTTCTGTCCCTTCCTTCCATTCTCCCTCTTTCTTTGTCCCTTTTTCTTTCTTTCCCTTTTCTCTTTCTTTTCTTCCTTCTCTCTTTCTCTCTCCCTCTTTCCCTCTCTCAGGCTCACCCCATTGACTTGACTTGCTTGGGCAGGTCCCACCAGTGCAGTGGGCTCAGTGGGGTGGACCTGCAGGGCTGACACCCAGAATACAGCAGTGGCGGCATGTTTGAAAAGTAGAGCAAAGCCAGAGGTCAGTAATTTTTGCTGCAAAGAATCACAAAAGCTTCTGGGTTGTGCACAAGAAGGAACACACATGTCAATGCAATTCAGCAACACAAAATAAAGAGATACAAATAAAACAAATCAACAAGAATTGGCAAAGCATCTCTGATTAGATTTTATTCACTACTAGAATCTAATCAGAGATGTTTTGCCGATTCTAGTCCAATGTCCTGCTCCAGCAGGGTTAGAAGGGTTATAAGAGTTATAAGGGAGTGTGTGTGTATGTGTGTGCATGGCTGACAAAACTCCAAAAACAGGTCAAGTATCTCTGAGGAGACCAGTCATAAATTAGAACACTTGCTAAACAACCGGCCATTAAGTGAGGACCACTTGTTTGCCAGTCACCTGGCCATGCCCACCCAGTCACATGACCAGCAAACCACACCTACCCGGTCATGTGACCAGCAAGCCATGCCTAGCCAGCAAGCAACGCCCACCCAGTCACATGACCAGCAAGCCACACCTACCTAGTCACATGACCAGCAAGCCAGACCCTCAAATTAGGCCATGCCCACAGAAATTTAAATCCCACCCCTGGGTGGAGGGCACTGAGGATGAGTTTGTAGCACCAAGGGGGCGGTGGACTGAAAAAGTTTGAGAACCACTGCTCTAAATCAGTACTCCACAAACTTGGCAACTTTATGATGTATAGCCTTTAAGTCCTCAAATTAGTAGCTAGCGAATTTTGGGAGTTGAAATTCACATATCTTAAAGTAATCATATTTGAGCAGCAATGCTCTTAAAAAAAAAAGACAGATCTAGCATAGCTAAACTAATTTATGGGATCCCTGCCTAATTTTCTTATGGCTCAGCCTAAATTGGAAGTATATATGTTTCAGGAATAACATCTAATAAAGTTAGCCAAAGTACTAGTCAGTTTGAATGTTCTTCCTTGAAAACTATCCTCTTAGAAAACCCTGTTTGGAAATTTGCATTGTTTCCAGTGATTGATAAATAATAAAATCATGACCCTGTGATAAGTATAAAAGAATCTCCTATATTTTTCCTCAATGATTAAGATCCCTTATATGTTTTCTGATAAATCAACTATATAAAAACTGTAAATATTAGTAACTTTTATTTGCTTTTTTCTCTAATTAATGTATCATATTGAAATTTCTTAGCCTTTTTACATAGCATTGGAAGTGGCTTTATTATACACCACACCACATTAAAGAATATATTAAAAAGCTGAGATTTATGAGTTGGACAGATTAAAATCATACAAGTGGATGGCTGCATATCTAACATATAAACATACAAAGGTTCCTGACAGTCCATCCTTGTATGGTTGCAGATATAAACATCCCCCTTACAATCATGGTTTAGAGTACTTTGTGTAGGGACTTGCTGCTTAATCCCTCCATCGTGGATATAGCTTATATCATGAATAGAAGCTCACCCTTGTACAGGTAGTCCTTGACTTATGACCATAACTGATTCCCAAATTTTTGTTACTAAGCAAGACAGTTAATTGAGTTTTTGCCTCATTTTACTAATTTTTCTTGCCACACTTGCTAAGTGAATCATAGCAGTTAAGTCACATGGTTGTAGTGAATCTGGTTTCCCCATGGATTTTGCTTGTCAGAAGTTCACAAAAAGTGATCATATGATCCTGGGATGCTGTAACCATCGTAAATCTGAATCAGTTGCCAAGTATCTGAATTTTGATCATATGACCATATGGACATTACAATGGTCATAAGTGTGGAAAAATAGTTATAAGTCACTTTTTTAGTGTTGTTGAAAGTTACAAGTACAGGACTATCTGTATTCATAAATTCTCACAGGGATTACAAGCTCTTGTAGGAACATATTTCATGTACTAGTATCATTTCCATAGTTATGACTTTATGGTTACATAATTCTGACTTTATGGACTCTGATTGGAAGCAGAGCACAATGTTAATCTCTACTTTATCACCATTTTTATAAAACTTCCATTTGAATTAAACACAAAACGTACAACAATTCACCTTCTGAAGGTCACTGCTCAATATAGAAACATACCATCTCTTGACATTCCTACAGACAAGCATTTTTTGAATCGGCATTGCTGACACCTGTTTCTATTCATTCTCATTATAGAGCAGTTGTTATTTTTCAGGCACTTCTTATATTGGATATTTTGCTGAATGCTTCTTCTAAAGAAACCCTGAAAAAATAAGCAACAGTTTTAGGGGTTAGTGTTTTTTTGTGTGTGAACAAGTTTTCAATTAAATCATACAAATAAAATCTTGCATGTTTAATCTTGAAAATAAGACTTGTGAAATTTTGTTATGATTAAAAATGATGGAATAAAACACATGCAAAGTATTCTTCTTAAACTTTAAAGAATGTTGCCCTCAGTTTTGCTGATGGTACTTATTTAGTACAAAATGAAAATATTTTAAATTTGGCAATTTGGCAAATAAAACGTAACAGTATATTTCAGACAGTCAGCAATAATTATACTCATTTCTAAATTTATATCTATTCATTGCTACCTTAAGCCATTTATATTAGAAAAATTACCTTGCAGCCTTCACAGGCATGGACCCCATAGTGAAATCCTGAAGCAACATCTCCACAGACTTTACACAGCAAGATCATGCCATTAAATTCTAAAAATGCAACAGTATGAAAGCTCAGTAGTAACATGAGAAATAAAGCACGGATAGATTTGCTTTGTTATGTAATGTAATGTAAAGGAATATAATTCTGTATACCTGCCTTCTCAGATCATTGTCATACATGTCTCAAAGAATGTTAAAAATGTTTTAGTAAAGGAGTCAGCAAAAGATTAAGCAGTATAGTTTTTAAATTTGATGTTGTGTCACTCTAGAAAATTCTCCATTAATTCTGCTAATTGGAAACTGATTGTGAAGCTTGCAAATGGCAATCACATGACTGCAAGAAATACAATGGGCATAAATGTGTGGCAGATGAAAAGTGTATGAATGGTGATCATGTGACCACAGACAGATATGATGGCATAAATTTGAGGATTTGTTGCAAAGCTTTTTTACAACTCTTAATTTCAAATGATCACCATACAAGGCAATCAGTAAGTGAGAAATAACTGACTAATAATAGCTTTATTAGTGTGGAAGCAAATGTGCAATTTCAGAACGAATGTGCTGCATTCTTAAGAAGCTTCAGATTCAAAGGCTGATGTCTCCAAATTAAGTACAGAAATTAAGTGTATGAGTTACCAGTTACCAAAGTTTAAAAAACTGCAGACAAGCAAATAAGATATTAACAAAATATAATCAGGTCTATTAGAAAACATATTTTTTGTTCCTAACTTGTTAAGTCACACCAGCAAAAATACCCACCCCGTTGTGATCAGTAGAACTTTGAGTTATTTAAAATGTATTTTCAAAACTTTACTCTAAAATAAGTCTCATATTTTATGCACACTCAGTAAATGATTCAGAAGAAATGCTTTGGATTTTGTGCAAGCGCAGTGGTTTCTGCAATGTTTTAAATCCGTTCCTTTTTTTTTCAAGCTTCTGTACAATGCTATTAGTTTTAAAGGTAACATTAACCATAATAAATGCTTTTTATGGTAATATAAACCTGTATAACCTTTTGTGCTTATATGACATCACAATCACTTCTAAATTATCTTCAAAGTATGCATGATCATGTTACATGGATAAACGTATTTAATTTACTTTAATTCAGAAATGAAAATGCCCCTTTTCACAATTTGAACTTGTATATTCTTTCAGTATCAAAGCTGGAGGATTTCAAAATCTCAATTCTAAAATGCTGTGCCTTATGCATTTTAAATAGGGAGATTTCCAGACTGGGGTTTCTTGGTAAACATTTCTCAATTTCTCATTTTTTTTTCAAATTTAATTGTGGATTACAAGGCAACATAGTCTGTTGGCCCAAATTTGACCATGAAACAGGAATATGCCAGTATTCCACAAGAATATGGCAGTTTGAGCATCAGAACTCCAGTTTAACTAGAAGAATGGAAGTCAGAGATTAAGTGATGAAGATTTAATACTACATCCCACTGCTGCCAAGCTTGAGATAAATGTATCTTGTACCTAAAGTGTATAATATAAGGATCAATTCAGATGTCGCAAGTTCCTCGTCTTGTTAGTCTCTCATTTACTATTACAATGTTATATGGGTCAATGGGTATTTCTAACAAGGGTTCATCCAGAGAGCACCTGGAAGCAAGGATCTAGATAGCATTTGTACAGTTTCAATTATCCAACAACTGAGTACTACTTTAATCAGAACAGCTAACCATAGGAATTAAAAAGAAAATATGAAAAATGAAAGGTGCTGAGAAACATGATGTCAGAAATGAGTGCTTTGTAAAAGACTAATAGCACTTACTTGCAAACCCTTTATGACTTTTTGCTGCTGAGGCATCACTCAATTGATTTGTCTTAGTGTGATTCTCAAACTGGTCAATGGTTGGACTTCCATCAGAGTGTTCCTTACTCTTGTTACTGTAGCTCCCCTCAGAGGAGGAACTGTTTGGTGATGGTGGTACAGGGGAAGAAGAGGACTGAAAACTGTTGTCTGAGCCTTCACTGTGACAGGAAGCAGGGCTAGATGCAGAGCTTGAAGAGCTGATATAAGCAATTACACTTCCTGAAAAAGAACATAAGAATAAACCATTATCTGTAGTCAGAGGTCAGCTTCCCCTTCCCCTCTCCTATTCTTACAACGTTATTCAACAATATGCCTTTTGATTTTTAGGAAACAGCATTTACTTCATCATCTGAAGCTTAAAGTTCAAATTTAATTACATCGCCCTAACCAAGAGAATGTACTTAGAGAAAAACAAATGAAAAACTTTGCTTTTGTTTTTGAAGATACAAGAAAATAGTAAGTGGTGAATCCAAAATAGGGCAATTTGATGTTCATATCTATTAGATAGCAGGTATGGCAAGACATAAGACACAAAGTCAATAAACTTTATAAATGTATAAAATAACAGTATAGCTTTCAGCAGCAATGAACATTTAAAAAATAGCCTAGAGCTTGGAGAATCAGTTTACAAGATTTTCAAGTCATACAATGATTAAAGGACCTCCGGAAGGGTAACTCTTAGAATGTATTAAAACTTTTTATATATGCTGAGTGATACAAATTTACAACAGTCCAAATATTGCACATGATCTTGGTAAAAATAAAAATTACTTTGGAAGGAGGGGAAAAAGGCAAAACAAGGATCTTCCAGCAGAGTGAACGAAATTAAAAACAAAAATGATTAAAATGATGTGAGATAAAATTGAATTAAGGAATGCTAAAAGGAATATTTTAGATATTTATATGGAAAAGACAGTGACATGTCTAAGTGTGGTATTGAAACAAATGCTGTTATGTTCAAGAAAAAAAAAAGAAATGTAAGTCACCAATGCAACCTAATTAACATGGGCATTAAGCAGGGGTGGGCTGCTCCTGGTTCTTCCCGGTTTGGGCAAACCCTTAGCTAGCCCCATCTGGCTGGCCCCATCTACCCTGCCGGGAGTCCCCACATGGCCCGTTTGGGTGTGAGGTAAGTTCAGGGCCCACGCGGAGGCTCAGGGAGGGTGAAAAACAGCCTCTGGAAGGCAAGAAATGAGTCTGTTTCCAGCCTCCAGAGGGCCTCCAGAGCCCAGAGGAGGTCGTTTTTGCCCTTCCAGAGGCTCGAGGAAAGCCTCTGGAGCCTGGGAAGGGTGAAAAATGGGCCACCAGGAAGTTCCGGTAGGCTAGAAATGGGCCTATTTCCGACCTCCGGAGGACCTCTGGACCCTGGGAAAGGTTTTCACCCTCCCAAAGGCTAGAGGAAAGTCTCTGGAGCCTGGGGAGGTGAAAAGCACCCCCTGCTGTGGTGCAGGGAGCCAACTAGGCCACACCCACCATGGCCATGCCTGTCCAGCAACTAGGCAGAGAACTGGGCTGATATTTTTGAAGCCTATCCTTAGCATTAAGTGCATCTATACATGATTGGTGTATGATATTACTAGTTCCCTATTTTTTTAAAAAAAGGATTTAGTGTGGCATACAAAAACTATAGGATAATTACTTTTAGAATCCCCTGTATGTGGGTCTAATTCTGATTGAAACAGTTATCATAGCCCACAATGAGAAGAAGTGGGAAAGTGCAATCTAAGAACTTACATTATTTGAAGGAAAAATACAGATTAGTATTCTCTCTTAAATGTGACCCATATTAAATAACTTTCAATGATATGATTTATGTGCTTTCTGGTAGTCAGCATAAAATAGGAGATAAGGAAGACATGCATTTAAGCATCTTAGACAAAATTGTGGATAGTTTTTTTTAAAAGCACCCATAATGCTACAATCATCACATAGTGATTATCATTAAACTGTAACTTATTGTGCAGATTGGGTCTAATTGAGCTTCCATGTAACAGGTTAACTTGACTTGATGTCTCTGGTGATCTATGATGTTTTTTATACTCTTTATGAAATTACTGAGCTCAGACTTTAATAGCACCAAACAATGGCATTAATATGAAGCATTAGGAAGAAAAATAAATAAATACCATGTATATAAAATGGGCTAATTTTATTGCATTACAAATAAAATAGAGAAATGGAACTGTATAATGGGATAATGCAATGTGTCAGGTAGTGCCATCTTAAAACAATAAGAATCCAAAAATCTCTCCCACAAAACATTAAATATAGTTTAACTAGAAGAATCAAGAATTACATATAAGTGACACTATAAATGCTTTTCCATTTTTAGCCTTACACAGTTATTTATGTATAAAAGTTAAAAACAAAATAAAAATCTCAGAGCACTTGGAAAGGCTTAGTAAGAGAGAACCATGAATAAGCCTCAGTAAGTTTCCCATTGAAACTCTGATATTTCAAGTACCTTTCACAAAAGATAGAGGAAGAATCATTTCAAATAATAATTAATGTTATTAATAAAGAATGATTTCTAAATCTGCAGAACAGTTCTAATGTGTGCTTACCCAGGTGTGTGTTGATTTCATACGTAATTCCATTATTTGCAGTAAATGCAAGAGAATCAGATAAATACAATAAAAATTACATCTGAATAACAGGTTTTGAGAATGGAATTACAAAACCAGGCAATGGTAATAGGGCACATTAGTGCTGCATCTATTACTGTTTCTTAGCCAAGGGAGCTAGCATTGTCTGAAGACATTTCTATGTGTTCATAGTACACGGAAACCTGGTACCTTCCCACTGAAATGGTACCTATTTATCTACTTGCGTTTACATAATTTTGACCTGCTAGATGGAAAGGAATGGAGCAAGTAACAAGTGCTCATGCCATTGCACAGCTCTACTCTAGAACCCAGGCTGTCAGCTTTCCAGCTGACAAGCTCAGTATCTTTTAACCACTGAGTCTTTGCATTCCTCCATATGATGCAATTCTTTTTAAACTATTATCACAGTGATGCTCAGAAAACTAAAGTGATTAAATAGCCTTTTCTTACAAGGAGAAACATATAATTAATGCAGGAAAAAGGCAAGACAAATAAAATGTATCTTTTTCATAGAACGTAATTCAAGATTTTACATGGTAGTAAAATGAAGACAGGCCAAAACTTTTAGAAGTACAGTACTTTAAACAATGTGTTCAGTAAATGACATAAAGATTTGTTTGCCATAAAATGTGAAAAAGGCTAGTGGCTTATATGGTCCTTTTGACATAGCACATGATTATTTGATGGGATTCTCTGTCTTCCATAGCTTCCTCATCCTGTATAATCAATCAGAAACAGCATACTTTGAATGCCATCAATTAAACAACTTTATCTGATTTTCAAGAAACAGGCTTTTCTTTCACAGTGCTGGCCTACTCAAATGATATAATCTCAGAAACTTGTATGCCCCCTCCATGCCATTATTTAAACCTGGTTCCGCCCCCCCCCCCCCCATCTTGAGCAAAGGGGCATTTGTTTTTGTGGTGTTGATGATTTTCCTCCAGATGTTTGTTTGCCATATAGTAATCTTCAACTTGCATTCATTCATTTGATGACCATTTGAAGTTACAATGGCACTGAAAATAGTGACTTAGAATCAGTCATCATATTTATGAGCATTTGCAGCACACCCACAATGATCAAATTTGGGGTGCTTGGAAACAAAAAGTATTTATGATGGTGGTAGCATCTATCAAAATGATTGCCATTTGCAACCATTCCCAGCCAGCTTCTCATAAGCAAAGTCAATACTTTGGAAGCTGGATTTGCTTAATAACCACATGATTCATTTAACAATTGTAGTGATTTGCTTAACAATCATAGTAAATAAAGGTAATAAAATCAGGTGCAGCTCACTTGCTTTGTTTAGCAATGGAAATTATGGTCCCAATTCTGGTCATAAGTTGAGCACCAGCTGTAGTTTCTGTATTATTGTGTTCTAAATTGTTTCATGTTATATGCCACCCAGACTAATACATAAATAATAAGATGGGTAGTCAAATTTATAAAGAAAAACCTCGCCAACTAATAAACAAAGCAGCTATATTCAGGATTATTCTGAGTTATAAATTGCTTTTAAAACTACCAGAATGAGAGTAAGCTTCTCAGCACTACATTCCTTCCTAACCAAAATTTACCTTACGAGAAGCAAACAGAATTCATCTGATCCAGCAATTTTTTTTGTTATTTTTCTGATACCTTTCTATTACATTTTTGTCACTACATATTAAACAGACCGTAAAGAAAGCAATTGTTATTGCCATTCTATTTATCTTTTTATTTTTCAATGGACCTTTTTTCAAACATCAAAATATCATCTTTCAGTTCAAAAGTATTTTATCTCTCCAAGATGTACATCCTGTTATATAATTTTTTCTGTTAAAATTCCATTATGTTTGCGGTTTTGTCAACTTGGGGCATTTGGGGCAATTACACACAACCTCTACACACCAATACTTTCTACAGTTACTGAATTGGGAGGGAGAGAACCACTCCTTCCACTATTCAGTCTTTCATAAATAAATAAATAAACAAACAAACAAACAAACAAATAAATAAATAAAGCAAGCATTCAAATTCTCACAGTCTTAGGTAAACTGCCCAATTCAGTTATGCAACCCTCTGGAGTCTATACATGTTATACCACCTGACTTCATCTATTGCGTAAGCTCAGTCATAAGAGAAAATTGTTCCGCAGCCTTCCTCCAACCTGTTACATTACAAATGCCACAGTTCATAGTCCATGTGAGAGTGAGATTTCAGTGATTATTGGATTCCTATCACATGGGCATACACACATAGGAAAAAAACTACAAATAACTGGAAAATGCTTTCCTTCCGAGCAGGATATATAAGCAAAATTATGATATTCCAAAACTACTGAAAATGCTTTCACATAAATCTCATACTAGTGGATGGCTATAAATATACAAAAATGGTGAACACATTTACATGAGAATAAATGTGAGTAGAAACCATGAATACCATCCAAGTAAATTTCAAGACAGTATTTTTAGTATCAACTGCATTTCAATAAAAAGTAACTGTACATGTCTGCTCAAACAGATCTATAGTAAGAGTAAACTAAATGACTTATTGCTTCCTTTTGGCCTTCTGAAGGGCTATGAGGACCTGGTTCTTCCCACAAGGATTAGACTAAGGTAGGGGGTTGAGCTGGGAAGATGTTTGGTCTGGCATCTCAGGGGATTGGGTACTTTTGTTTTCAACCATGTCTCATAGATAGTTGTGAGCTTTCTGGAGTCATTATAAGACAGGAGGCCCATATAAGTCCTGTAAGTTAGTGAAGGAAGGAAGGAAGGAAGGAAGGAAGGAAGGAAGGAAGGAAGGAAGGAAGGAAGGAAGGAAGGAAGGAAGGAAGGAAGGAAAGAAAGCAAGCTGGGAAATAACTGCATTAGTTTTTCAGGAAAATACAGCAACATCATATAGTTAGTGACAGTAACATCAAGCTTCCCATATGTTCCTTCTCCTTTAAATTTCTGATAACTCTTCTTGTTTTTCAAATAAAACAGTTCACTTCATCTCCCACCTTATTTTTAAGAAACAGGAAGATATTTAGTAGTATTTATCTACATTTTTTTCTCTGAAAACAGGCCACTGAACTTAACATAACAATCTTTTACATATGAGGGTCGCTCACTGAGAAGAGGGAGTGGTCGATCTATTCTCCAAATGACCTAAGAACAAGACAAGGAATGGAAGATCAACAAAGAAAGAAGCAACCTAGAAATAAGGAGAAATTTCCTGACAGTTCAGAACAATTAATCAGTGGAACAGCTTGCCTCCAGAAGTTGTGAATGCTCTAACACTGAAAGTTTTTAAGAGACTGCTCAGTCATTTATCTGGAATGGTATATGGTCACTTGCTTAAGTAGGGGATTGGACAAAAAGATCTCCAAAGTCCCTTCAAATTTTGCTATTCTGTAGCTTTTTGGTTATACATAGAATTGCTACTGCTTTATATACCACTGTATTTAAAGTTGTAGCAATTCAATATACAATCAAGAAGTTACAGATTCAGGCGATCTTTAAACCTCTTTTTAAACTTCTGTCATTGTTGTCTACAGATTACAGGAGTTGTAGACCAATGTGGCCACAAACCTATCTAATTAATATACTGTCAAATTCTACATATAAACAAGTACATAGGATACCACAGGCTCCTTTAGAAGAAAGAAAACAGAAAATAATGCCAAAATACACCACTGGACTCCTTGGTGCTCCCTGACCTTGGTTGTTTGCTCACAGATCTTTCTTTACCGCACTTGGTAACATCATCAGTGCTGATCATGTATTTACCTCCAACCATATCCCTGGTAATGTTTTACTAGATGATCAAGCGCCTGATGAAATCTACTTAGGGAATGTGCGGTTAATCAAGCTAAAGCTACTTAATCCTCCATCACTTCAAGACCAAGTGGTCAAACTTTGCCCAGCAATTGAGGATGTCCGGTCAAGCATTCCGCGGTTCCAGGCACGATCCCTCCTAATTTCAAGCGGAAACGGCCGTCTTCGGATCCTTTGTCTGCAGGGCGACTCCTTCTATTCACCAAGTACGAATCATCACTTTGCGGCGTAGTGAGAAGAGACAACGGGCGTGTCTGAATGAATCCTGTTCACTGCCTCTGCCTCCACGTGTCCCTTGCTTGCCGCTTCTAGATGTAGGTCACCAAAACAACGGCCTCCAGCTGCTTACACGTGTCAATCCACACGGTCTCCCACCAAGACCGCCCAGCGCAATTATGCAATCTGGGCATCTCAGCAAACCAGAGCCAATGAGGGCGCGCCTGGCACCGAACATAAACAAAAGGGCGCACATGGCTCAGCCGGCCAGTCCATGTGAGACGGTGGAAAGGAAACAACCGATAGGAAATAGTGGCAGCAACTGTGGGGAAGAGGGACCGGCGGCAAGCCCAAACCTGTCTGCAAAACCAAATGGCCAGATTGATCTCTTTAAAGTATCATAGCCTTGCGATCCCAAGGAAAGAGTTGGATTCGGATCAAGCTCTAAGAAAGGTTTTTTTTTCCTCGCCAGCCCACTTTCCCATAGCGCGTTTTTTGGTAAATGAATGGACTGATAGCCGTTTTTTCTCCCACTCCTTCTTTCCCAACTCCACTAGTTTGTAACCTCTCATTCCAAAGCCGGAGTCTTCCCTCTCAGTCAGCACAAACACCAGCCGCTTTCAAATCTCATTCAGCCATCTCCGCTCCAGAGGTGTAGAAGCCACAGGTCTTACTCTGTGTCCCTTTGCTTTTGGAACAGAAACGCGAGAATAAACTAATAAGGCGACCTTCGAATCATTTAGGATCAGAACAGTGGCCGAAACTACCATCCTTAGTAAAAGCAGCTGCTTAAAGTATAAAACTCCATCTGTCCAAACTTTCTTGCTCTAATTATCCCCTTGGCCAAACGCTATGCCCCCCCCCCTTTTCTGGGCACTTATGGTTGCGGAGTTCTATCCCAATTAAGAATCCACTTACCGACACTCAACTCCATGCCTGCCTTTTCTTCTCTACCAAGAACTTGCTGCCGAGGGCTGTGATTTTTTCAAAAGAAAAGGAAGCAGGACGGACTGCGGCTGGCCCTTGAGGAAGAGCCTCCTGACCTACCGACTTAAGAAGCCCACCCCGGTGTGTCTCTGGTGACAGCTTCGAAGGGCTGCCGGGTCGCACGGTGCAGGAGGGCGCCTCTTTCTGGGTCCCTTTCCTCTGCCTCCCACCTGTGTGCGGATGCAAAAGGAACCACTGCGGCAGCTGTGCTCATGGGAGGTGCACCCGCCTGCCCAATGCGTGGAACTGCCTCGTGCGTTGTTGGGCGGGAGGAGATGAAAGAGGGGCGCAGAAGCCGCCGCCGAGCCTTCCTGAGGAAGTTTCTTGCTGAGTTTGCTCCTTGTCAGGGCTGCTGCGGCTGTTTCCTCCTCCCCCTGACAACAGGGCAAGAAGAGTCAGCGGGAGTACGGCGCTGACCCACGTGGCTGCACTGCCATCCTTCCTTTCCGTCCCCTACCTGCGCCTCATTCGCTCTGCGTTGTCCCTTGGGCGTATCTCACCTAGTGACACAGTTCCTTCTTTCTCGGGAGACCGAGGGGAGGGGCAAGTTAGAAAGAACAAGCTGTTCTCACGTGTAGCCCCGCGTGGTGAGGCGGATCTGTGGATCTTGAACTGCACCAAAAGAATAGAGAAGCAGTCTTGCCAGTTTCTTTCCCCCTTCCAACCGCCCCGACATAGACATTTCCTTGAAGTTTGGACTTCTTTCCTGGGTCAGAAAGGAAATTTCAGTGCTTTCAGCCTTTTGAGACTAACTGTACTGTAGCATTATGGCAAATATCTATAGAGATTCTCAGTCACCCAGGTGGTGGTTGTCCCAAAGGTGCTTTTCCAAAAGGCAACTGAACTTTCTTGGTGTTTTTTTTCATCTTGAAAACCTTTCGTTTCTTGTTCAAGAAGCTTCTTCAGTTCTTTTCTTCAAAACTGAAAGAAACCAATAAAGTCCAGTTGCCTTTTGGAAAAGCACCTTTGGGTCTAGTCTTATGGTAATTATCAACTGGTTTGGGGAAGAGCTTTCTATCCTTAACTACTTTATCTGACCACAATTATCTTTCTCATAAAGTTTTCACCCATGAGTAAATAGCAGAAGACAGAAATAACCATTGGTCTTGATTCCAATTCTTACGATAAATATGATATACTCTTCATTATAAAACCTAGTACATTTGTTATCATACAGGCTTTTCATGGATATGGTCTGGATCCAAATAAGTTAGACCAGGGTAGAAAATGTTGGAAGAAATATCCTCTGGGTTCAGTTCCAAGTGGGAAGAAAGACACTGGAAACATGGTGATTGCTTGGAAAGATGGTTTCATGGGGGACAGGACCACATGGGCTGGAGATCCTGGGTGAAAAGGGAAGAGATGCTGAGACTGCCTGGGTTTTATGCCCTCTGTTGGGCTATGAATTTGAGCTTGTGTTCTGATTCGTGGCTATGCAGGGTTAACTTTGTAGGTTGTCTTTTGAGTCCCAGGCTTGGTTGACTCTTGCTGGGTGATAATGTAATGAAAGGACTTTGGGTAATTCCTATTATGGCTCTGCCTGAAAGAGGTAGATCTTTGTTATGTAGAAGACTGGCCCAGGTCTTAATGCCTCATTAACAAAGGAGTGAGACTGAGTTTCTACCTCTCTGAGTTTGTATTTCTCTTTTAGGGGAAATATTCTGCCTTTTTAGTATATCCTAAAATATTTCATTTTCCTAGGAGACGGATGGGTTTTAACTTCCAACAAAAGAAATATCATCTGCAGAAGTATTTAATGTCTCCGAAACTTTATATAGTTAAGTAACATTTAGATGAAAAAAGTTCCTTGTTATAAATAATAACATATAGCATTAAGCTTAAAACAAACCCTTATTTTATAGCAAATAGTCTGAAATATTTTGCAATTGTTTATTAATGCTACATTAGTTTTGAATTAAAATTTACTTTATGTTTGACACTGAATTTTAGGAATGATAGCTAATATTATACAAACTTTTTATCTTTCCAAGGTTTAAAGTTTAACCTGTGTTAATAATCTCTGGTATAAACAGCACTGTACCTAAATAATATAAAACCACTTTCATTTTATCATGCAATGATAAAACAATATAAGAAAGGAACATCATTTGGGGGCGGGGGGGCTACTTACTGATCACCACCATCTCTTATTAAACAATATACCAATATAATAAAATATTTCTTGATATTGCATAAGCATCCAAAATCATGTTAAATATAATAAAAGTATTAAACTTGCATTATGCCATTCCCATTTATATCTAACTCTATACTTTGTGTTGGTAATGTTGGAAATATTAGTAATGGACAGTTTTGCATATAAAAAAATGCTTTTGAACCAATACCTTTACTTGTTCATAAATGATCTTGGGTTAGGAAAATGCAGCGAGTGGACAGTGTAAGCAGGTAAGAATTTTTCAAGGTAGTAAAAAACCGAGAGATTTATTTCAATTGCATCAACAGTCAAACAAATGGCAAATATTGTTTAAATATATTGTACATTTCAGACTTAGAACAATCCCTGCCTAATTTTTTATGAATAGTGAGCTGTCTGAAATTAATGAAGAAAAAGTAAAGATGTTACCACAGTATGCACCAAGGCAAATCCAACATTAGAAATAATTAAGAAAGGGATTACAAATAAAACTGATAAGAGTGAAAAATGTCCTTTTACAAATCTAAAGATGTTGGCATCTGAAATTCTTGTAGTTATGCTTGCCATATTGGGTGTGAAAAAGGGTATAATACAATAGAACTGAAAAAGTGTAAGCAAGGCCAAGTGCACTTAAACTCCTTATACTACAAATACTAGTGTAGGCCAAAATAGGGAAAAGACAACTAAGCAAAACATAGTTGAGGTAAATAAAGTCACACTGGGAATGGAAAAAGTGGACTCATCTCAGAATACTGGTCATCAGGTCATCTAATGACTGCAGTGAAGAAAGAAAATACTTCTTGTGGTATATAAGTAATTCGTAAAATTTATTATTGCGAAATGTGATTGTAATCACTTCAAGGAAATTAAATATATCAAACTCTGTTCCTTTTTGAGGCTTACCTTAGGATTTAAGCTGGCTGACTTAAATACTAGCTGAAAAAAAGATGATTAGGGTATTTCTCCATTTTGTAAGCATTTTCATAGGCATTGCGTTGGCCATTATGTTTAATCAAATCAAATCAAACATTTACTGTCAATGCACAACATGTGTACAATTAAATTGAAATGGTGCAGCCCCTCCACTTTTTAGCTAAAGTGGGCATTATCTGATCCACGTGGGTTCTTAACGAACTTTTTGTGTGATTGCAAAATATTATTTTTAGAACATTAAATAGTGTCATTCTTTCAATTAAATTAAGTATGTTGTCATCTCTCTATCATAGTATCGTTGCAGGATGACTTACTTTACTGACATGAAATATTTGCAGTAGAAATACAATGATGCAATTTGTTATCTTCACTAATTATTCACATAACCATTTTATTTTTAACAATGTTCCTTTTCTGAACGTTCTTCATCACCTTACAGTTCCTCCTCAGATCAGGCTCAGTTAGAAAGCTAAATCCAGCATGTTTACCTTCTCGTCTTCCTCACTAGCCCTGGATGCTTGATGGATGTTTTTTTCACTAGAGGAAACCAACTAATCCCTGAATCTTCCTTTGTACCTGCAAATGTCAGAACAGCAAGACTGACTAACCTAACTAATGACGCGGAATTGTGATCGGCTATGGAGGCTGAGTAAATTTGTGTTGCCTCATAGACCGAAGGAATGAATATTAAGCTTTGTCTGCATATGCATTTGTTTCCAAGGTTTACTCTGTATTCAGCCAAGTAGAATGCAGATTGTTCTCACCAATTATTTTGCAATTTTTCTTGTTTGATTTGTTTGTGGAGGGATCTGAATGAAGTAAAACTAGTCTGAGCAAAGCTTTCATTCTTTCAGCTTATCAATTAGTGATTAATATTTGAAGAGTCCAACTGGAAAATAGCTAATATCTTAATTTTTCTGAGAAAAGTCCAGACTCCAGTCTTCCTATTAGCATAGCCTTCCTTTTAAATCTCAGAGTTATTTGTATGCCATTAATGCCAAAATATTTCTAAATTTACAATAAGATACCTTATTCTTAGAAGTTATTTTATTTGCATATATAAACTGGTACTTATTATTTGCTTCATAACAAGAAAATGGTAGTTATGTGGTTAACATAATTACATTTCTAGAGTCTGTCTATTACTATTTACCCGCTCTTTGCCTGGTAACAAGATAGGATGATGTTTCTTGTTATTTGCTACAATCCTAAGATTCTGCTGAACATAATTGTCAATTGCCAGATTTGGTCCCTTTTCTTAAACATAGTGGTGAGGCCTGATTAATATTAATCTGTGTGTGAGAGGGTGGTCTCTAAATTTGATAAATACATTAAAAACTGACAGTTTAAACTTTTTAGCAATTAATAATCAGAATGTGAATATCATTAATTTGGTTTGCAAAAATACATACAAAAATATATAAAAATGCATTCATAGAATATTCCACTTCTATATACAGTTTTGGAATAGTGAAGTCACAGACTAAATAGTAAAATGTAAACTTACAATATTAAGGAATATAAACGCAGGGCGAGTTTAAAGAATTTGGAAGTTCAGTACAACATCAGGTTAAGAACCTTCTTACCAGGGGTGAGCTTCAAATTTTTAGCCAGGGGCTCTTTGCCCTTATGACTGCCTAGGTGGGTGTGGCTGGGTGGTCATATGACTAGGTGGGTGTGGCTGGGTGGTCATATGACTAGGTGGGTGTGGCCAACTCAACACCACTCTCACCCAGTCACATGATCCCCCCAACCATGCCTACCCGGGTTGTTGCTCCTGGTGTTTTCTGTGGAAAATAGGTCTCTCTCTTTCTCCCCCCTCCCTCCCTCTCATTTCTGTTTTTCTCTTTTTCCACCCCCTCTCCGTCTTTCTTTTTCTTTCTTCCTTCTCTCTCATTTATTTCTCTCTCAATCTCTCCCTCCAACTCTCGAGGTGGAGCTCTCGCCTCACAATCAGGAGGCTGTGAGTTCGATCGCAGGTAGAGGCTAGTATTTGCTCCTGCTTGAGCAGGGGGTTGGACTAGACGACCTCCAAGGTCCCTTCCAACTCTGTTATTCTATGTTTCTGTGGCCCTCTCCCCCTTCTCTCTCTCTCTCATTTGTTTCTCTCTTCATCTCTCTTATTCCCTCCCTCCATTATTTTATAATTTCTCTCGCCTCAGCCGACATGAATGGGACCGTGGCTGGTGCTGAACTGCCCACAAAGCACGCGGAATCGTGGAAAGCAGCCGGTCGCGGGCAATACATTTGCGACTGGCTGCTTTTTGCGATTCCACGTCCTTCATGGGCAGCTCAGTGCCAGCCACGTCCCCTTTGTGTTAGCTCAGGAAGTAGGAGCAACTGCCGCCGTTACCAAATGCAATAAGGGAAGAGCTCTGGCTCTCCGC